AGACAATCTTGCATCACCCACCAATCCATGCCTTGACACAATCCTGCATCACCCACCAATCCATGCCTGGTCACAATCCTGCACCACCTACCAATCCATGCCTGGAGACAATCCTGCACCACCCACCAATCCATGCCAGAACACAATCCTGCGCCACCCACCAATCTATGCCTTGACACTACCTGCAAAAATCCATGCCTTGACACAATCCTGCACCAATCCATGCCTTGACACAAACCTGCACCACCCACCCATCCATGCCTGGACACAATCCTACACCACCCACCATTTCATGCCTTGACACAATCCTGCATCACCCACCAATCCATTTCTTGAGACAATTCTGCACCAATCCATCCCTTGAGACAATCTTGCATCACCCACCAATCCATGCCTTGACACAATCCTGCATCACCCACCAATCCATGCCTTGTCACAATCCTGCACCACCCACTAATCCATGCCTTGACACAATCCTGTACCAATCCATGCCTTGACACAATCCTGCACCACCCACCCATCCATGCCTGGACACAATCCTGCACCACCCACCAATCCATGCCAGAACACAATCCTGCGCCACCCACCAATCCATGCCTTGACACTACCTGCACCAATCCATGCCTTGACACAATCCTGCACCAATCCATGCCTTGACACAATCCTGCACCACCCACCAATCCATGCCTTGACACAATCTTGCACCACCCACCAATCCATGCCTTGACACAATCCTACACCAGTCCATGCCTGGACATATATATTCCTGCACATATCCATGCCTGGACGCAATCCTGTATCACCCACCAATCCATGCCTTGACACAATCCTGCATCACCCACCAATCCGTGCCTGGACACAATCCTATACCAATCCATGCTTTGAAACAATCCTGCATTGTGTCGCTTGTCTTGTGAAGGTGTGAAATCTATGTTACAATGATAGGTAATGTCTGAATGACCGAATAATGAAGTTTCATGAGACTCAATAAATTGCTGATAGTTTTGTCATTCATATACAAAATTCATCTACGAAAACAATAGTTCAGGTCATCAAATGCAATTCCTACATTCAGGTCATTTAAGATGTCTTGCACAAAACTGAGCAGAAAGCAAAAATTAAACACAGTGATATGGTATTTTCATAACATGGCAATTATCAATAGTTTTTTTTTATCAATAGTTTTGATTTAATATATTTTTTACTTGTGTTACATTACAGAAGCGAAGACACCAGCACAGTTGGATGGATGAAATATGACACCGTCATGGGATCCATTTCTACCAGCTTGAACAGTCCAACCAAAACACACTTTGAAATTGCCGGCACGAATGGAAGAATACATCTGCACAATGACTGGTGTTATCACCCCGACCACTGTAATCAAACCAACTCATTTGAACTCATCATGAAAGGAGAACCATCCAAAAAAGTCACTGTGCTCAATCAAGACCTTTACAGAGGAGAAATATTATCATTTGAAGCAACTGTGTTAGATAAAAAACCATCTCTTGTAACTCTGCAACTAAGTAAAAAAATCGCAGCTGTATTGGAAGCTATGTACGAGTCAGCACGATTGGATGGTGTACCAGTAGTGCCTCAACTAAGAGTAAACTCTGAAAGGTCTAATGGTGTACCAGTCGTGCCTCAACTAGAGTAAACTCTGAAAGGTCTAATGGTGTACCAATAGTGCCTCAACTAGAGTAAACTCTGAAAGGTCTAATGGTGTACCAATAGTGCCTCAACTAGAGTAAACTCTGAAAGGTCTAATGGTGTACCAATAGTGCTTCAACTAGAGTAAACTCTGAAAGGTCTAATGGTGTACCAATAGTGCCTCAACTAGAGTAAACTCTGAAAGGTCTAATGGTGTACCAATAGTGCCTCAACTAGAGTAAACTCTGAAAGGTCTAATGGTGTACCAATAGTGCCTTAACTAGAGTAAACTTTGAAAGGTCTAATGGTGTACCAGTAGTGCCTCAACTAGAGTAAACTCTGAAAGGTCTAATGGTGTACCAATAGTGCCTCAACTAGATTAAACACTGCAAGGTCTAATGGTGTACAAGTAGTGCCTCAACTAGAGTAAACACTGCAAGGTTTAATGGTGTACCAGTAGTGCCTCAACTGAGTAAACACTGCAAGGTCTAATGGTGTACCAGTAGTGCCTCAACTAGAGTGACCTCTGAAAGGTCTAATGGTGTACCAGTAGTGCATCAACTAGAGTAAACACTGCAAGGTCTAATGGTGTACCAGTAGTTCCCCAACTAGAGTAAACACTGCAAGGTCTAATGGTGTACCAGTAGTGCCTCAACTGGAGTGACCTCTGAAAGGTCTAATGGTGTACCAGTAGTGCCTCAACTAGATTAAACACTGCAAGGTCTAAAGGTGTACCAGTAGTTCCTCAACTAGAGTGAACACTGGAAGGTCTAATGGTGTACCAGTAGTGCCTCAACTAGAGTAAACTCTGCAAGGTCTAATGGTGTACCAGTAGTGCCTCAACTAGAGTGAACACTGCAAGGTCAAATGGTGTACGAAAAGTGCCTCAACTAGATTAAACACTGCAAGGTCTAGGTGTACCAGTAGTGCCTCAACTAGATTAAACACTGCAAAGTCTAATGGTGTACCAGTAGTGCCTCAACTAGAGTAAACACTGCAAGGTCAAATGGTGTACGAAAAGTGCCTCAACTAGATTAAACACTGCAAGGTCTAGGTGTACCAGTAGTGCCTCAACTAGATTAAACACTGCAAGGTCTAATGGTGTACCAGTAGTGCCTCAACTAGAGTAAGCACTGCAAGGTCTAATGGTGTACGAAAAGTGCCCCAACTAGAGTAAACACTGAAAGGTCTAATAGTGTACCAGTAGTGCCTCAACTAGAGTGACCTCTGAAGAGTCTAATGGTGTACCAGTAGTGCCTCAACTAGAGTAAACACTGCAATGTCTAATGGTGTACGAAAAGTGCCTCAACTAGAGTAAACACTGCAAGGTCTAATGGTGTACAAGTAGTGCCTCAACTAGAGTGACCTCTGAAGAGTCTAATGGTGTACCAGTAGTGCCTCAACTAGAGTAAACACTGCAAGGTTTAATGGTGTACCAATAGTGCCTCATCTAGATTAAACTCTGCAAGTTCTAATGGTGTACCAGTAGTGCCTCAACTAGATTAAACACTGCAAGGTCTAATGGTGTACGAAAAGTGTCTCAACTGGATTAAACATTGCAAGGTCTAATAGTGTACCAGTAGTGCCTCAACTAGAGTAAACATTGCAAGGTCTAATGGTGTACCAGTAGTGCCTCAACTAGAGTAAACACTGCAAGGTCTAATGGTGTACCAATACTGCCTCAACTAGAGTGACCTCTGAAAGGTCCATTAGTGTACCAGTAGTGCTTCAACTAGAGTAAACACTGCAAGGTCTAATGGTGTACCAGTAGTGCCTCAACTAGAGTAAACACTGCAAGGTATAATGGTGTACCAGTATTGCCTCAACTGAGTAAACACTGCAAGGTCTAATGGTGTACCAGTAGTGCCTCAACTGAGTAAACACTGCAAGGTCTAATGGTGTACCAGTAGTGACTCAACTGGAGTAAACACTGCAAGGTCTAATGGTGTACCAATAGTGCCTCAACTGAGTAAACACTGCAAGGTCTAATGGTGTACCAATAGTGCCTCAACTAGAGTAAACACTGCAAGGTCTAATGGTGTACCAGTAGTGCCTCAACTAGAGTAAACACTGCAAGGTCTAATGGTGTACCAGTAGTGCCTCAACTAGAGTAAACACTGCAAGGTCTAATGTTGTACCAGTAGTGCCTCAACTAGAGTAAACACTGCAAGGTCTAATGGTGTACCAATAGTGCCTCAACTGAGTAAACACTGCAAGGTCTAATGGTGTACCAATAGTGCCTCAACTAGAGTAAACACTGCAAGGTCTAATGGTGTACCAGTAGTGCCTCAACTAGAGTAAACACTGCAAGGTCTAATGGTGTACCAGTAGTGCCTCAACTGAGTAAACTCAGCACGGTCTGAATTACTTGCCTCAATTTTAGCGCAGTATTTTAACATTTTTATCTATTTTTCTATGATTTTAATAGACATAATGTTTCATCAGTTAGGTTTTTGTTTTTTTTTAATCTGAAAATGATTATGCTTTTTTTATTTTGTGAATGATGACAAAAGTTGACTGAAGAAGCGAAGCACTGTTTTACGAAATGGGATTATCTCCGGACTTGGGGACAATCTCTTGATAAGCAGACATTTTTGTTGTTGACAAATCAAGGATGAACAATTGGAAAGGTCTGTGTACATTCAGAGCAGCCCAACAGCAAGCTATACATTTATTACTTCTGGCCCATAGTTTTTACTGATATAATAGTTATCAGTGTCCGTTTGTCTGTACGAACTCATAACAGGAGCACTATTGAGATAAATGTTCACACATTGGTATATTGGATCTGATCAACATATTTAACACATTGTCTATTGACTCCTTTTTTCCATTGATTTCCAGCATTTTGCCATTCTGGACCTGATCGTTTTAAAGAATACTGCATTAACGTATATTGTTCTAAAGCCATGCCGCTTACATGTATACATCAGAATAATGTGAAGAAACTTGGTATATCTTTTAATTGCATGCATAGCAAAAGTATTTAGTATACTACCTGTCCCCTAATGGTGCTCTTTTTAAATATTTAAGTTGCTAACAAGCTATTTTTTCATTACAAATAAACAAATTATATACATTATATCTTGAACTTATTTCTTTGATGTTGTGATGTTGCTTATTTGTCAATCCATTGCTTGCAACGACTTGTGACGTAATTTTGAAAGTGTATCTCATCCTTAAGTTTCAGAGTGGCAGAATTAATTGATTACTTTTAACCTAAAATATTCACTGAGAAAAGTTCAAAATATTTACTAAAAATATAAAATTAGCAATAATGTTAACACTTCTTCTTCTCAAGCCGTTTTTGTATTTTAAACTTCTTCTTGAAAATGGCAAGACCGCTTGCTTTGATTATATTTGTACCTTGGGTGGACCTCCCTCAGATTTGTTGATTCTTCAAAGCCATTTTTGGTAAAAACTGCTGTTTTCGACTTTTTCGTGAACATGGCTAGCACAATTGATTTGATATTTCATATGTAAACACCTTGGGTGGACCTTTTCCAGATTTGTTCATTTGTTGACGTTGTCTTCAATTCTAACATTTTAGTGAATAATTTAGCCATTTTTAACTAAATAATCAAGCTGTATCAGCCGATAGGCTGCTGGTTCATTTATTGTGTTAGTGAATGAACAAATAATTACAAAACTAATAACTGCAACTGACTAGCTGTTTTGCAGGAGTCAACACAAGTTTTTTTTCTAAAGAAACACATTAACGAAAATACAAGATATTATTAAATGTGTGAAACTGTTGGAGAACTACTTAAGGTACCTGATAAACATGCTGGCAAAAAGTTCAAAATATCTGTTATACTAAAAAAGGGAAAACTAAAAAAATGCAGATTTCAGTCTAAAATAATTACATGAGAGATACCTAAAAGGCGCTGACCTGGATACCTACACGGAAAAAGCCAAGCCTCACAAGTACCCTCACAGCAAATATGGACACCGAGAATATTAGACAATATTTGGTAATCGTTTTCCTAAGTAACTATTCAAAATAGCTAGGCAATAAGAGTTGTGGGTATTGTAACAATGTTTGAAATGTCTGCTCGAGACTAGTGGTTTGCAAACAATATTAAAAATGTAATTTTACTAAATATTAATGGATAAAATTGAACGTCATTTTCATCTGATGGTTGATCACACAAAACAAAGAACGCAGCAATTCATAATGGAAACGTAATCATTTTGGCGGTATTACGATGAGTTTTACGATGAGTTTTACTTGGAATGAAAACAGAAGTATTTTATAATGACCTTTAATGCAGAGCTCAATTCGTCCCAATTCACGTTCGTCACAGTACATTTTCATTCCATTGTCTTTGTTCAGCCTTACGATCTTGTGCAGGGGATGTCGATTTCTATGTTGGTGCAAGGAGTAAATTTCGACGTACATGTGTCTGCTAGACCCTTCCTTTTAACAACCTAGAAAGAATAATGTCGTCTACACGTGTGACTTCTTTTATATATTCGTAACAAGACAATCAAGCTTGATGCATATAAAATACAATCGGAAGCCTTTGCAACAATATTTACTTATTTCCCGATATTCAGAAATAAACAACTATTACCATGTTAACCAATATGAATATGAATGAATGTTGAAATATGAATAACTTGATTTGACAATTGACGGATTAACATGTTGCAAAGTGTGATACAATAAACGACTGGGGTTTACTTTTCGGGGTGCTGAATGCACGATGAGTGCGTGACCACGATATGTCTTTGAGACGAATAAACTTGTGGGACCAATCAACTTGGATCGAATGTGATTTGGAACGAATCGACCGTACACCATTTAGTGAACTAAAGCCGGTATGCGAGTAAACAAACACAGTCTCTCAAAGATGCACAGAAGTGGTGGGTTCATGTTAAGAGGCGTAATCGATACATATATTTATCAATGATCTTTCTAATAGTATTCTTTCTAATCCGGTTAGCTTAGAGAATAATTTATTTAACTGTTTATTATTTGCTGATGATATTGTAATAGTGTCA